GGGCTTAATGCTCTACTAAATAAATAGCTCAACAAGTAAAAAGTAGAAACATCATTCATAAAGCCAGACTTTCCTCTACTATGAATTTTAAGAGAATTATACATTTGTCTTTTTCCACCCATAGAAGAGAAAAATATCCATACTGTTTACAAAGTGAAAACTGTTTACAAAGTGTAAAGTTATACTATTGTTCTAAGCGGTACTTGTCACACCTGTAAATTCCTGCAATTAAAAAAAATCATCCATCCTCATTGATATGAAGCACCACCAGTGCAGATACCAAGTTGGCCTTGAACATCAGCACTTTCCTAGTATCTATATTAAAGTATTGGGCATATGGTAGGTTCTTCAGATCAATGGGAAAATTGACAAATGTGCTACAAGATCATTATTGTATATCACTCCTTTTCTGGTGATATGAAGCTAGTATCTCTGAAAGTCATTCTTGGAAATGGCCTGCCCAAGATTGTATGACAAGTGAATGACAAAGCCAGGATCAGAATATTGGATTCTTTAGTTTCATTTCTATTCTCTGTCCATTACACAACAGAGGGTCTTACATCAGGTACCCTGGACAGCAACATGACTCCTAAGTGTGATACAGCAAGCTTTGTTGTTTAAACTCCATTTGGTTTGGTGCCTGGTTCCCAGCATTCTGTATCCGTTGTAACAAAAACTCTTCCGGAAATATGCCTGGTTTATGCATACTTAATGTAGGACTGCAAGAACAGAAGCCAAAACAGAATTCTACAGCCATAGCAGAGTGTCATTTTACTGTTTCATGTGAGAGTCAATTTTTTACATAAGCCAAACCACCAATGCCAATGCAATTTCCATGGGGCAGCTACTGCTAAACCAAGTATTCTGCTATACAGTACTTCTATTTTTATGGGTTTCCTGAAAGCAGATTCATTTTAAAGTAGACCTTTTCCTGGGCACATTAAAAAAATAAAGTGTGAATTATGAGGGGTGACACAGATGATTCAAAACTAGGTTGTGGTGACAGTTGCCCAACTATAGGTTTATGTAAAATGGGTTAATATTTAAAAACATATTCCAAAAAAGCTGCTAAAACCTGCTAAAAGTCTGAAAATCAGGTGAATATTTGAACTACTTCTTTTGTAAACATCTCCTACAAAAACTGTAAAGGTATTCTTTACTATCCCCATGCTACTTCAATCATGGTTTACTTAAAAGGTCACACAATTTCCCACACAGGGGCCAGCTCTGTGGTGCAGCAGGTTAACATCCTGGGCTGCAGCACCAGCATCCCATACGGATACTGGTTTGAGTCTCGGTTGCTCTACTTCCAATCCAGCTCTCTGCCATGGCCCGGGAAAGCAGTAGAGGATGGTACAAGTGCTTGGGCCCCCTGCATCCATCTGGGAGACCCAGAGGATGCTCCTGGCTCAGCTCTGGCCATTGTAGCCATCTGGGGAGTGAACCAGCAGGTGGAAGGTATCTCTACCTCTCTACCTACCTCTCTATGTGACACTGTCTGTCAAATAAATAAAATCAACTCTTAAAATTTCCCATGCAATTTCAGTAAAGATCATTTAGAGGCTAACCAAAATATCTATAAAGAACCAAATTTCTTCTCGGTATCGAAGGAGTGACAGAGTCTATACCCACATTTTCCATGACCAGTCCTGGGACTTGGATTGAAGGGGTTGAAAAAAATAAAAAAGAGAAAAAGAACCAAATTTAACTGAGATAGAAGTAAGAGATATTGACATGTATGATTATCTGCACAAATGAGCTACAGATTTTAATTTTACTAGGCATAGTGTTTTAGTTCAAAACCTGCCACTAATTGGCAACCACTGGATTTTGAACAAGTTCTAGAACACACCCCCCCCCAGTTTCCCCATCTATACTATTTGTCTATGTGAACCAGATTTGAATGAAATAGCACACAGATCAATTGTTATCTGATGAATAGCCACTAACATGCTAGAATGTCTTAGTAATGATCATCCTATTAGCCATTTTTGCAGATAAAACTGGAACATAGTGAAATTCAGTAGTTCAACCAAGATGGCACACAGTTAGTGGCAGATACAGAAATCCAATCTAGAATTACCCAGCTCCAAAAACCTAGATGCTCACCCTATATTCTCCATCAGGCTTTGGGCTTTTGCGTTTGTTACATACGGGTATGAATCCTGACCTTGTCTTTAGTATCTCTTCCTCTGATGACAGACTTCCTCATCTGTGAAATATCGCCCGTTCCTCACCCTCTGGGAGGTTGGGAAGATTAGAGAGTGTAACTCCTATAATCAGAATCTATTCACTAAGTTGTCTTTCTCATCCCTCTGCAGCACAGCTCCCTTCCTATGTAGATTTTTATTAAGTCTGTTATTTCCTGATAGTTTACCTGGATGAACTTCATTGGAACCAACTTCTATCCAAATCAATTATAATGAATGAAAGCAAAACAGTGCTATTTCTTCAGACTCCGGCTCTGTGGTGAAGACTGTGAACAAGAGTGTCAACTTCAAGGGGTGCTCATGTGCCCACCTGAACTGAGCTAAGGTCACAGACCTGTCTCTGCCCTACAGACGTCTAAATGACAACTCTTGGTCACTACAAACCAGAGTTGCAGCCAAACCAGGTGGGAAGTGTTTATCTCCTTTCTATTCCTCTTAGCCAGCTATTCATTCTCTAATACCTCATTGACCATAATGCAAAATAACAGATTTTCCCCAGGATACTAATTTCAATGCAATGCCTTTATTTTCATGATGTCTGATAATTCTAGAGGCCAAAGGAAATGTTTCTGTAATAGAGGTTTGTCAGCAAAAAACCTGTTTGATTCTGTGTCATGGAATACACACCTTCCAAATGTTACCTCCCAAGTTACCAGATAAGCCCTGATGCAATGTGACACTTTAGTTGTGGCAAGGAAATAGAGCAGGTGCTAGTGAAAGCCAACACAAAAAGCCAAGAAATCCATCACTCAAGTTAACATGAGATGAAAAATAGTCCAAAACAGTCTAAGATAGTGTAAAGTCTAAATGTAACAGTTTTCTTCCACATTACAAGTTAGACTTCAGTAAGTAGTCTAACAAACATTATGCAACAGCTATGTCTTTTCAGAGCATTATTCTACTTTATACCAAATTCACTTAGAATCATAGTAATTAAACACTAGCTACTTTTCACAAAGCTAGCAGAAGTACTGTATTCAAAAATACTGAACTCTAAATTTGTGTGATTAGTGAAGTTCTCTACCAACTGTCCTGGGAATTTAATTAGTCCCTACAGGCTGATGAGGCTTCGTGCACCAGTAAAGTATCTTCCTTGATCATCTACTTCTTTCACAATTTATAAGCAACTAAGAAAGAAACCTACAATGTCATATGCTCACTCTGTTTTCTATTGTCTGATGTGTAGGTCTTCTGCGTCAAAAACTTCATTTAAAAAGTCCAATTCTGGCCTGCGCCGCAGCTCACTAGGCTAATCCTCCGCCTGCAGCGCCAGCACCCCAGGGTTCTAGTCCCTGTTGGGGCACCAGATTCTGTCCCGGTTGCTCCTCTTCCAGTCCAGCTCTCTGCTGTGGCCCAGGAAGACAGTGGAGGATGGCCCAATTCCTTGGGCCCTGCACCTATATGGGAGACCAGGAGGAAGCACCTGGGTCCTGGCTTTGGATTGGCTCAGCGCGCCGGCCATAGTGGCCATTTGAGGGGTGAACCAACGGAAGGAAGACCTTTCTCTCTGTCTCTCTCTCACTGTCCAATTCTGCCGGTCAAAAAAAAGTCGAATTCCATTGTGACTAAAACTGATGTAAAATAGCAAAAAATTATGATGTACAACACGGGGTTGTCAATTAAAATTCCTAAACCTTGTGCTTGGTATAGCTATGTCTAAACAAGTTAAGAAATAAGACAACTGCAAAACATGAAAAAACACGTAAACTAGCCTTTCCAGGCCCAGCCACGCATGGCTTAATGACGGGAATATATTCTGAGAATTTTGTTAAGCATTGTTGGGAGAACTTCAAAGTATGCTTACACAAGCAAGGATGGCTACAACGTCACTAGGAAATATCTTACTGTTCCATGGAATATGTGGTCTGTCATTTACTAAAGCAACATCATATAATTTGTGACTATATGAATAGCTATTATGTTCTTGAACATTAAAGAAACACTTTGTGTCTAATAAAACTAAATTGTTCATAAATGTACTACAATGCTTGTCTGAAATGAACATCCCAAGACATCCTGTGAGAGATTTGAAGGATTTTATCAATTGACCCCAATGGCCAGATTCCAAGGTTTTATCCTTATAGCCATATTCCAATGTACCATTGACAGATAACCACCAAGCCTCAGAGGTCTCTGAACAAAGATTTCATGGGTTTTATTTATTGATGCATGTCTTCTTTCTCTTATGCTGTCACTAACATAGTTCCCCAAAGTGGCACAGAAAAAAATGGTCAACACACAACATTTTCTGAGAAGCCACTGTGCTGCAATGATTAATAAGGAGAAGCTCCCAATTAAATCTTTTTCCTTTTAGTCCTTACCTTTAATTGTAGGATAGAAAATCTTTTTGCTGGAATAGAAAATGTGCCCCAAAAAAGTGGTTTCCTAACACACTCAAATGCCCATCAGAACAGAAAAGAAACCCACACCTAATGTACAACATTAGCCACCAAAGCATGCAGGTCCTTTTTACTGCAGACATTAAAATAAGTTAGCAAAAATCAATGAATACATTTTAATTTATGATCAAATGGCTTTATATACATCATCTTGACTATGTTTTTCCTGTTGGTAATTTGTCTCCTTTGCTTTACCGTAACAATCTTAGCACATTATTAAAATAACATTTGAGGCTCTATTTGTCATCCTTTTGTCTGAGACATGTTGATTTTATTAAAGTTCAGTCTGCATTCTTTCTTTACTTTTGTTACAGCTAGACCTGATGGACACAGACCTTTGTTATAAAATGCTCTGCTATAGAGAAAACCTTATTAAGTAAGATCCATTTACCTGCTGGGCAGTTGCATTCTGAAGGTGCTTTTCTCGCAATTCCTTTAGCCATATGTCCGTAGGATTTCTGTAGGAACAGAAATATTACGAATCATTTGACAGAATTAGGTACTCTCTGGTCACATGTCCAATTTACCAACATTTCATAGCCTGGACAACATTTACATGTGCACTTGGACTTGGGTCAAAAGCTAACAGCACCCAGGATCTCAAAAAAGAAAACAGCCATTGACATGGTGTCAGGATTGCTGGATATTTCTAACATTTTCCCCTATTCTTCAACCATTAACACCCTCTCCCTTGTCTCAAGCATACATACTCATTGCACAAACCTGGCACTAACACGCTGCAGCTCCAGGTAAGCTGTAGCTTATCAGGAACAGCCAGTACTTTAAACATGAAGGTTAACTGTATTAGGATATGCAGCAACCACTGCCAAAAATCTACCTCTAAAGCCATCCTTAATCACAACATAGGTTCCTTTCAACTCTCAACTGCAATGATTCTGAACTCATGAGTACCTCTGGCTATGCATCCTTCACCAAAAAATGAAGCTAAAAAAAGTTTAAGCCCTTATTACGAAAAAGTTCAATGGCAAAATTGTTCTAATCACTAACACCTAGAATCTTAAACTTGTTAACACGTGAAGGCTATCACAGATGTTATCTAGACAAGGAATAGTCTTTGTACAATTTGTAACGAATCACATTAGACTACAAAACTAGAACCTGTTGCCTCTTTTAGACCTCCACAAATGTTTAGCAAACACTAAGGCAGAGTGAGTGAAGATGACACAGAGGCTGTCTTATCAAGGGATGTGCAAACACAAGCTCCAATGAGCGCAGATGGACACCTAACCCTGCGCACACAGCCAAGCACACAGCGAGGGTAGCGCCTGGTCGCGCACAGAATGACGCCTTTGCAAGATCATACTCACGTTCAAAAAACCTCTGCCTCTGACATCTGAGCCAGAAGGCGCTCCACTTTCTATGGCACCTTTCTTGAACTAATCCTGGTCCCTTTGGCGGATTCCGGTGCAGCGATGCGAGCCTGGAAGTTCTTAGTTTGCACCCGAGGTGCAGACAAGGCAGGACGGCCACCACTGACTGGAGGGCCGCCAGGGACCTGCACTGGGGTACCGGCCCAGCGCAGCGCTGCCCGGAGAGGCTCCTGGCCTCCTCCTTCAGTGTGTGCTTCTTTCCCTCATTGTGCGGGGCCGGCTGCCTCGGTTTCACCTTCCCCCCTCGACTTCCTCCAATCATCGCAAAAGGAAAACACGGGCCGAGTCCTCCACAGTTCAGTATAGGTGGCCTCGCAACTAACTGGCGGCGCGGAGGCAGGCGCGAAGAGGGACCTGGGCGTGCCTTAGAGTCCAAAGGGACGGGCGAGGAGCATCCTCCACCTTCCTTCCCCATCCCAGAAAGGCGTGAAAAGCACCCTGCGTCGGGGGACTGGGTGGCCACAGCGTGAAAGCCGAAAGGAAATCCACCGGGCCCCTCCTCCGAGGTCCCCGGGAGCGGCAGCTCGGGGTCCGAGGGACAGCCGGTGAGGGTCTGCCGCTCGCCCCGCCGCGGAGCGCGGACCTGTTGCATCCTCGCCACTTGGCCTTTTTTCCACGTTGATTCGTTGTCTTCCTGCACGCCGGCTTGCTTCCCACCTGGACTCCTCTGGAGGCAGGCAGGCCAACAGACCAGGAGAGCGCGGCACCAGGGGACCACAAGATCGAAAAGGCCGAGCCGCAGCTATCTGAAGCTTCTCCGCGGCCCCGTGCCTGCAAGCCTTAAATAGCCTTCGGACTGGCCACGTGTGAGTGCGAGCACCGGTTGGACTCCGCCCGCCCAGCCGCTCTGGCTGCGGAGGGAGCGCCCCTTGCTGGAGACCGGCTTATTACCATAATCACTTTCACCAGGTCTGCAGCGCAGCCCAAAATAGGAGCATAATGTGTGCAAATAGCGAGAGCGGCCACCGAGATTGGATGAGAGCCTGGGGACCCCACCCCCTCCACAAAGTAACCTCAGTATCCCCGACAACAGTTCGGGGACCCACGTTTGGTCAGTCCAGGGCCCCGGGCTCAAGTGAAGTCGGAGGTGCAGAGGCTCCCACCACTCAGCCCTGCGCACCACTTTATCCCGCTGAGAAATGGAGAAATGGCCTCTGGGAGGGGCGCCGTGAAACGGAACGTACCAGCCCGCCTGCCCTACCGCCTGCACTCAGGCACTGCATTTCCTGTCCTCCCTCACCTCCCCGCACGCCCCGAGGCAAAGCTCTGTCTTCATCTGGAGGGTCCACGTCCCCACTTCTCTTCTCCCCCCACGGCTCTGCCGTGCACCCCAACCCCTGCCTGTGTCCAGGGGGCTGAGTCTGCCCCAGCCCTGCGTTCCCGCTCAGTACTTGGGTGCTGATGGGTTTTCCTGAGGCTGTTTTGTGGGACTGAAAAAGGGAAATGTTCAGGCACCCACGTTTGTCAAGATTTATGAAGGGACTGAAACACCAGGTCAGTTTTTCCTCTTTGATTCTTATGCAGTTCACCTTACTCAAATTACAAGGTCGATAATGGGACCTTGGTTGCAAGCAACATTTTACTTTGAATTGACTTTCAGGGCAAGTAGGAGCGCGGAATCGCTCCTATTACCCCAAAGAGCTCTCCCTCAGCTCCTTTCCCCGGAGAAATAACACACTGTTGCTCTCTAAGCAGGCTGCCCTCAGGCGGTTGCTCACTGCTGCACTAAGTGGATTCTTCACAAGGGTCAAAGGATGACTGCAGGTAAGCAGCAGGGTGACAGCATCATTAGAGGACGAGACACACATCACATTGAAGGGAAGCAGGGACTTTTGCTTTCAAGTCAAAACAGAAATTCTGTACATTTGTGTTACCTAGTTGTGCTCACAGGTAACATCAGCATCACCTGAGACACAAAAATCCAAATGCCAGGATCCCAGCACAGATCTTCTAAATCAGAAACTACAATAACGAAGTAGAACCAAAAAAAAAAAAAAAAGGCAAAACAAAACAAAACTTGTGTTGACATGCCCTTCAAATGATTCCATGTACGTTAAAGTTTGAGAACCACTGGTGGCAGACTTCACAAAATGGCAAACAGATTTTTTTTTTCATTTGAATATCAGAACCCTGTGTTGCTATGGTCCCGATTTTATATGACAAGAAACAACATTCAAGGCACCTTTAACTGTGATTAAACAGGTTTCCAAAACCAGGATCCAAGCCATAGCTACAGATAAATTTTTTTGAGATTTATTTATCTGAAGGCAGAGTTAGGGGGAGAGAATGAGAATGAATATTTTAGATCCACTGGTTCACTCCCCAAGTGGCTGCAACAGCCAGAGCTGGGCCAATCCAAAGCTGGGAGCTAGGAGCTTCTTGTGGGTGTCCCACATAGGTGCAGGGAACCAAGGACTTTAACCATTTTCTACTGCTTTCACGGGCACATTAGCAGGGAGCTGGATCAGAAGTGGAGCAGCCAGGACTCCAACAGGTGCCCATATCGGATGCCAGCACTGCAGGAGGCAATTTTACCCTCTATGCCACAGTGCCAACCCCTACAGATTATTTTTGTTGGTGGTGTCACCTTTTTCTGATTTTCCAGTCACCTCTTTAATTATTTTTTAGTCTCCCTTGCAAGCTTTTCCTTTGCCTGTGCTCCTTGCGTCTCTGTCTTATGTGGCCTTCTCTTTGAACTCTGTATACTCTGACCAGTGGAGTTGACAACTACCACACTTAAACTTATGGGACAACAATCCATATAGCAAGACAAACCTCAGTTCCCTCTTTGCCATCTCCAGTTGGATATTCTGCTAGTAATTTTTTTTCCAACTTCATCTGCATCTCCCCTCCATGCTACGCTTGTTCTGGTTTCCCATCTCAGTAACTGAAGCTACCATTCATCCAATGTCCCCAAGCCAAAATACCCAGCAATAAACTCTTACTTTTCTCTTGCTCGCTTGTCCCTGAATTCTCTCTGAATCCTTTCAAGTTCTTTCCCACTGTGCTTAGTCTTATGTTGTACAAATCTCCATTTGCCATCTCACCAGCGCATTCTTCTCACACTCTCAACACTGGTTCCTATAAAGTATGGTGACAAGGCACCACTCAGTAGAAATGCCATTCTCTGCCTTGACTGAATCTGGCAGTCAGTTACACATTCAGTGTGAATGATGCAGTGTTCTTATATCATGCTTTGTGTAAATTGGAACATCAACAACTCTTGCAACTCTCAGAACCACCAGATCTTACTAGGGAGATTAGGGATTTTGTGGATTTGGAGCCTCTATTCAGAAGATTATATTTACCGTATGTCTTTGGAGGGCACAATACCTCAGAAATGTACCAGCTGTTACTACTAAGATGTCAAAACTCATTGTATTCTCTGAGTCAAGCACAAAGAATGCATGGACCAACAAAGCCCAAAGTGTTTGAAACCGTGTTGTTCTACAGATTCATCAGTACACAGTTGTTATTTGGGTTCCTATGGGGAGAAGGATTCAAAAAAAGTAAAAATAGCACTCAAATTGCTATAGTCCAGCTGACACCAGTTTGCCTAAAACTGATACCGATAGAAGTAAAAGACAGCAGTTGGTCATAGAATAGTTTTGTGGGAAGAAAAATGGGCACCGGAAGATGTCCACATTCTAATCTCTAAAACCCATGCATATGCTATATTCCATGACAAGACAGATTGGCAAATGTAATTATCTTGAGATGGGGAGATTTTCTTCAATTATGTGAGAGTGATCAATTCTGTCAGCCAGCTTTCTATCACTATAACAAAACCTGAGCAGGCTAACTTTACAAAGAGGTTTATTTTGGCTCATGGTTCTGGAGGTTCAAAGTCAAAGACCAAGAAGAGCCTGCACTGGTTCGGCCTCTGGCCATGGCCTCCTTCTGACGGAGACATGAGATGACACAGGGCAGCACATGGCAAGAAACAGGGAGCATGTGTGTCCATATCTGTCTCTTTATCCTTAAAAAGCCACCAGGAGTCAATCATGGGGGCTCCACCCTAACAGCCTAATGACCCAACATCCTTACTTTTCAACCTCTCAGCCCCATAATTAGATTGAGCTTCTTCCTTCTTAGTGTCATAAACATAAGACTTAGGGTTATATAAGTTCAGGGGCCAAATCATGTTCAAACCACAGCACCAATGTAAGCACAATGGTCTTTATATGGAAGGCACAACCTCAAAGTGAAAGGAGATGTGACCACAGAAGCAGAAGTCAAAGAGATGTGAACTCTGGCTTTGATGATGGCAGCGAGCCTGAAACCAAGGAATACAGGCAGCCTCTAGAAGTTGGAAATCATGAAGAATGAATCCTCCACTGAAACTTCCAGAAGGAAAGAAGCCCTGACCACATCTTGATTTTAGGACTTTTGAATATCAGACCTGTAATTAATAAGTTTGTATTATTTTAAGCCACTAAGTTTGTGGGCATTCATTATAATAGCCAAAGGAAAATTAATACAATCACTGTCATAAGAAAACAGTGTTCACCTTTTAGAGCATTGTAAATGGTATTGAAACCACTATAATGCCCCTAAAGCCCCACAAAGCCCTATACTAAGTCCTATGTCTCAAATGTTTAGAGATTTCTATTTCAGTGACATATGCAGTGTGAAATAATTTGGGAGACATGTTTTCTTCCTTGTCATCTAAAAGTAGGATGCCCTCTACAGAGGCATGATAAGCCAAATAAAATGTATTCTACTTCTTCCCTGCCTCCACCTGGTACAACTCAAAAGCAATAAAACAGGCAAGCGGCACATCCACCCTCACATCTCCTCCTTCTAGAGCAAGCCTAGCCAAGACCCCTACTGAGCACTTAGTCTAATGACTAGTACTTCTGGTACCAACCACTAGATCACTGAGAAAACTAAGCAAAGACTTCTGACAGAGAGATAAGGCTGGAAGTTAAAACGAGAAAGAAGGTGCTTGGGAGAAAAGCAAAAAGAAGAAAGATAAACAAAAATGAGATGCTAGAGGAAACAAGATTTTTAAATGAGAAGAGTTAAATTTTTTAAAAGGCATAATTTCTAAAAGCACAGAGGGGATCAACTGAAAACCTATTTGGAATTTTGATGTTTTACATGCATTTAGAAAGACTGACCAAAGGAAGTGGCTGGAAGAATCATGCTGTATTCACACTTAACTACAGAAAAATACTCCAACCCACATAGAAAATATCTTTTAGCATCATTAATTTTTTTTTGACAGGCAGAGTGGACAGTGAGAGAGAGAGACAGAGAAGAAGGTCTTCCTTTTTTCCGTTGGTTCACCCTCCAATGGCCGCTACGGCCGGAGCACTGTGCTGATCCGAAGGCAGGAGCCAGGTGCTTATCTTAGTCTCCCATGGGGTGCAGGGCCCAAGCACTTGGGCCATCCTCCACTGCACTCCCGGGCCACAGCAGAGAGCTGGCCTGGAAGAGGGGCAACTGGGACAGAATCTGGCGCCCCAACCGGGACTAGAACCCAGTGTGCCAGCGCTGCTAGGCAGAGGATTAGCCTATTGAGCCTCGGCGCCAGCCTAGCATCATTAATTTTTGAGGCTAATTGATTTCCTAACACCACAATTTTAACCAAAATTCACCAAGAAAATTACCAAAGAGCAGCAGATGTATGAGGAGACTTGTGGCCATCTTTGTAATGCACAACCACCTGTGGATTGTGTTCACTAAGTACCTTAATAAAGAAAATGGGGCAGGTGGTATTTAGCATAGCAGTAAAGATATCTGTTAGGATACTCATGTTGCACATCACTGTGCCTGGGTTTAATACTTGGCTTATACTTCTGACTCTAGATTCCTGCTAAGGCAGACTGTGGGATACAGCAGTGATGACTCAAGTAATTGGGTCTCTGCCACCCAAGTAGGAGATCTGAATTGAGTCCCTGGCCCCTGCTTTCAGCCTTGCCCAACCACAGCAAATGAGAGTGCTCTGGGAGTGAATCAGTAGATGGGAACTTTTTCTATCTGTGTCACTTTGCCTCTGGAATAAATAATTTTTAGTAGCCTAATAAATTGTGTATGGTATTAAGCATGCCACTTGACAAATTTCAATGAATGAAATTTCACAGAAACCTCTCTTAAGAGGACAATTTCCCAGAGTATGAAATGGGCAAAAAAGAGTTAAGTGAACTGAAGTTTTAAGATGCTCACAGGCCAGCGCCATGACTCAATAGGCTAATCCTCCACCTGTGGCGCCGGCACACTGGGTTCTAGTCCTGGTCGGGGCACCAGATTCTGTCCCAGTTGCCCCTCTTCCAGTCCAGCTCTCTGCTATGGCCTGGGAAGGCAGTGGAGGACGGCCCAAGTCCTTGGGCCCTGCACTTGCATGGGAGACTAGGAGAAGCACCTGGCTCCTGGCTTCGGATCAGCGCTGTGCA